TGTGTGTGTGTGTGTGTGTGTGTGTGTGTGTGTGTGTGTGTGTGTGTGTGTGTGTGTGTGTGTGTATATATATATATATATATATATATATATTCCAAGAATACAGAGATCTTGAACAATAGAATCACAATTTGATAACCATGTGAATGAACAGCTAAATAATTATATGCAGTATTTTACACATGCATACTCTTTAATCCTGAAACTCAAACAATGAATTGTAGAGCTCAAAAAGCCACGATTACATCTTGGACATGAAAATTTATAGAGGATATAAGTTCCACATTTTAAAAACACTGTCTTTTAATTTAATTATTCACATGAAATATTGATTTAAACACAATTCTAAGTCGAACTTGAGGATAAGTATTACAAGTCGAAAGAGTTTTAATATTTTTTATATAATTCTAAAGCACATTTTACTAACTGCAGAAAAAGTTGAAAAATCTATAATAATAAAAGGGCATGTGTGGGTCTATGTGTGTGTGTGACCACCATAACCCCAAGAGGAATTAACCTAGAAACTTGAAATTTTGCACCAATACTAAGTGGACCCTGAGTGTGTGCACCTGGGTATTATTTATCCATGTGTGTGTGCGCGCGTGTGTGTGTGTGTGTGTGTGTGTGTGTGCACGTGCGTGCTCATTTTTTATTGAGGGAAGCTAGCGAAAAAACCACATAGAAAAGAAGTGGTTCCATATATTACAGATAGAAATCACATACAAGACATGCTCACATGCCTGTGTATGTGTGACCGCCATAGCTCCAAAAGAAAAGAACCTAGAAACCTGAAGTTTTGCATCTATACAAAATGGACCCTGAGGGTGTGCACCTGGCTATTATTACTTATCCACATGCGTGAGTACATGCACATATTTTTATGAGGTAAGCTAGTGAAATGCCACATAGAAAAGAACTAGTTCCTTATAATACAATTAGAAATTTCAGTCAGACATTCACATGCATATATGCACGCATGCACATGTGTGTCTGTGTGTGGGTGACCACCGTAGCTCCAAGAGGAAATAACCTAGAAACCTGAAATTTTTTCTCATTAAGGTAGTTGACTAAAAATAATCCAAATAAGCATTTCAGAACACATGAAACATATCATACACTAGAATAGAATGTCCCAAAACTACTGTAATTCATCTGGCTTTCTAACTAGCCTATAAATCAGTTAACCCTATGAATAGGGGCTGGGTGGAATCCACCCACCTCTTAATCACGAAAGTATCCATTAGAGTAATTGTACTATAATTTTTGATAATGCAGGCAAATCTTTACAAACTTTTTCAGATTATTAGTAAACATTACAAGGCTTTCATAAACAAAATATCAGGTTTTTAAATTAAGGATTAAGATTTTTTATTAAAGATTTGCTCGTAAAGTTTTTCTTTCAGAATGTTGACTATCCAATGTATAAAATAATTTAGATTTTAAGATTAAAAATACTTTTCTTTATCTTGTTTGTTTGTAATTAAGCACAAAGCTACACAATGGGCTATCTGTGCTCTGCCCACCACAGGTATTGAAACCTGGATTCCAGTGTTGTAAGTCCACAGACATACCGCTGTGCCACTGGGGGGCTTTTCTTTATCTAAAATTTGTCAAGTTTCATTTACATAATCTCTATATCCTTCTAAATAATCATCAAACGTTTTTTGGATAAAACTTTATATCTAATTTGTTATTTTATCAATATTAACTCTATATGGTGTTGGTAGATTTTACCAATCTCATAACCATCATAAAAATGAGGAAATAAATCTATATTACCTTTTTTATTGTTCTAGAATAACTGCAAATTGAACAAATCACAAATGTTTTTCTACATAGATTAAATTTTGTAACAGTAAACATCTATTTATATTTATTAAGTTTTTTTTTTTACATCTGAACCGTGTCTGACTAAAAATAACCAAACACAAGTTGGAAATTACACAGCACACATGCCGCTCACGTTACTGTATCGAATAGCGTAACGCACAAGCTGCTGGCGTGTATACCCCATGAAGATTTTTACAAATTTTTCTATGATTATCTTACCTAACAAGTTCCTATTTTTATTATTTTAGTTACTTTTATAATAATAAATAATGAAAAAAATGAAAAACCTCGTAATTAAATATCAACCATTATTATTTTCAGTAAAGCTTTATATTTAATTTATTTTCTTTACTGTAACATTATACTTGATTCTCCAGGTTGTAGGTAAGTAATCAAAGTATAACGAAAATAAAGGTTGCAAATGCAAAATAAAATGTATAGTATTGTTAGTACTGATCACAAAATTTAAAAGTACTTATGGTCAGAGTTTACACTTCTCACACTTATTTTCTGTAATTATTTTACTGCTAGCAGATGGCTTAGAAACTAGAAGAAACAAAATGAATAGTACTCTGTTCTTTTCAGTATGGACAGCAAAGTTCCAAAGTAAATCTCCTGAGAGTTTCCTTTAATCTTTTTACACCTATTTCCTCTGCTTATTCTAATATTAGCAGCTGAAGTAGAAACCTGGCAAATATAAAACAATGAATCACCAATGCCGTTACTGTACTTTGACACTGTCAGTATAAAATAAGCTCATGTGGTGTAATCCCCAGAGCTTCCCTGATTTGAAAACACAATGGGATAGGATTTACCAACATGTTGACAGTATAATGGTGTCAACAACAATTGTCTAAAATATTATAAAATGTTTATGTTATGACTTTGTAGAAAGTCTTGGCTGATCCAATAAGTCAATAAGTGTAAGTATCCTACAGAAACTACTCAAATTGCAGCTCCGAGAACACAGTGGGGTAGAATTTGCCGGCTTCTTTAGAGTGGTTGCAACAAGAACTGCCTAAAGTATTTTATAAAAGTGAGAGAAAATGATATGGATCTGTACAAAGTTGTATCAGATTCAATAAACTTGGTTGGTTGGGATTTAATGGGGGTATAGGTGTGAAAGTGCTTATGAACATCCCGTTTCCTATTTTACCATGTTTACACAGTAATCAATAAATGAGTAGTTTCCAATATTTTTGTAAGGTACATTGAGGTTTCAGTTACTGTACATTACATGTGTGTGCGTGTGTGTGTATATATATATTACTATTTACAAATAAATATTTAAATTTAAGTTATTTTTCTTAAAACATAGCACAGTAAATAATAAAATATTCAGAAAACATGATGTTTTGAAGTTTGTTTTTGCACTTGTGAGTCATACTTGCTAACCCTCATTGTAAGCCTTGTCCAAATTCACACGTCGATGTATAAAAAGAAATAAAAAAAATTGTCAACTATACACATGTACTTTTCAATACCAAAAAATTATATACGACTATACCGACACCATAAAAATCTACTGTAATTTACCAAGCTTCTTAACTATGTTGTATTTGGGTCTAAAAAAATCTAATTTCTGTTCGGAAAATAACATTGATCATAATACTTCAAACTCTCGAACAATATAAAAGCTTTTCTCTCATCAATAATTTAGAAATACTAACAGAAGTACATAGAGGAAACGTAAAGCTTTCGATTGGTTATAAACTTATAGGTATAAAAAGCAGGCACAGACAAACAAGTCTTCTCAAATGATGAAGTGGTGGGCAGAGTCAACATGGTGGATTTGATAAATATTATAATATTTCAAACAGAAAAAGTAGGAGGTTCTTATTTTATATTCTAGTTTGCTAATATCGGAAATTTGATTTCATAATTTGTATGGAACTAGAGACGTAGTATTGTGGGTACCATAAAATGTAATCTGACGAAACCCAGAAGATGACGTACCAGTGTGACACAAAAAAAGTGATATTTAGCAATTTTTTTTAAATATTTATTTTCAAATTAGGAAATTAATGTATAATACTAACATTTGAATTAAAATCTAGAATTTGATATCACGTTTATTGACATATATTCATAAAGTAGTAGTTCAATAACATTTTGAATGCAAGTCTACAAACACGAAGATATGCCCTTTGACCCCTAGCTACTCATAATGATGGGATTAAAAGAATTCCACTATTGCTCAGAGAAGTATCTTTAGTCTTAACATATCAGGCTCTCATGGCAAAATATTTACTTTTACTCTAAAACAAAACAGGCATGTCTCTTATGTAGTTCAGAATATGCTTTTTCTATTGGTTATAAACATGTCCAATACCATTTTTAAAAAGAATTAGAGATATATCTGAAAAAATACAGGATACAGCAGGAATGTGTCAATAATACGGGTTGAACAAACATAATAATAACTCAGTAATGCAACAAGACATTGAAATTTTATATGATGG